CCTCAGCGATTTTCCATCCTTCTAGAAAATCGAATTTCTGGAAATTCAAATCGATTTTCTATAAACTAGAAAATCAATATTTCTTAGAAAGTTGAAAATTCGTCGATTAAATTCTATAAACTTGAAAATTCTCGACGATTTTTTGGCTGATTTTCTATAAGCTGAAAATTAATTCAAGATTACAGTGTAGTTGAAGTACTTTTCATTAATGAGTAAAAGGTACAATCGAACAGTTTAAAATACTCGGAATTGAATTTTGTGTAGCTCTTCACTACTATTTTTCCTGCTACTGTGAATATTAACATAAAGTTAAATTCGTCGAAGAACCTGACTTAAAAGTGAAAGTATGACATTTTGTTCCACATACGGAATGCTCATTTATGCAAACTAATAACTATAAAAATATTTCCGAAAATAATTTAGTTAAACACATAATATTTATCGTCCAAAGTATTTTGATGTACGGTGGTGTAGGAAGATTCTCATCTGTTGAACTGTAAATTACTGCCTGTTTAAATAGGCATGGTGTTTCTCGCCATAAATATCGTAAGCCATTTACAGGTTTTTATCTACATGAACTAGGTAAAGTTAATGCAATAGTTAAGGCATCGGTTAACGATGCTGGACTTGGAACCCATACATTATCGTTCGTACAAGATGCACCCTCACTCTCACAGCAAACCTAAATTAGAAATTTCAAAATGAGAGTGAAAGAAAATTTTGAGTTGGTGGCAGAGCAAACTTGCTTACTTCAAATCCGGCTGTGTTTCGTAATGGGGTTGTTCGCAAAGATTGTTCTTTAAAATGTTTGCGTTTATTCATTACTAGAAAAACCGAGATTCTTCATGAACATTCCTCGTCAATTCCTGTAACACTTTTGTAGGTTATATCTATGGTAGCCCTATTCACTTGCACTTTGTGCACAATTGGGCTAGAATACTCAATAGTTTGACCATAAGCAATAGCAAGTGCAGCTCGACTAAGTCGATACCTTACAACATTCTTTGTTCGAGGATGAATACTAAAATTTTGTAGAAATAGCATTTGTACAAGTTTTTGAAGACTTTCAGATATCAAATTCGCAAAAGTCAAATTCGTTTAAAGTAGAGTCATATTAAAAATCATTAACCTCTTCCTCATACACATACCCATGAGGATCGTCTCGTAATTCCATTGCAACGCCCATGAACACATTTGCCAAATAACGATTTGGAATATACCCGTAATCATATGTCTGATGCCATCTGATCAAGGAAAAACCTCCAACAACCGTGTCGCTCTTTTCGTTTGTACTAAGCTAAAACATTAAAAAGACCTATGTTACAATTTTTTCCATTAATATTTTTGTATACAATACTTGAACGAAACCAAACGGAAATGTGGGATTTGTTATTGCATGGGCTCGACTATTCCATGTTTCTCGCCATGCTTGAATCATTTTTGAAAATGTACAGACATATTTATTTTGATTATAGCCAGCATTTGATTCACCTATTCACAGAAAGCAGAGTTTTAGGAAAAAAGATGAAAGACAATACATGCGCATTATTCTACCTTGATACCAAATTGCACCAGTAACTACCATTCTTGTAAATGGATAGATCGTGGCATTCCATAAATTGGAATTGCTTACTTTTATTGGTGTAAAATTTGGATAACATTAACAGATTGTGGATTAAAATAAGTGCGAATGCTAGATATATCATTAAAGCCTGACTACTTACGTCGTTATTCCACAATCGATCAACACCTGTGGTGGGCTCCACAACTCAATAGCTGTATCCGCCAGATTGTAGCGATTAACCCTAAGGGGCGACCACCCAATGCTTCGTGGATCATTCGCCCATAAGACTATATTCATCAAGAGACTCACAGTTTTACCTCGTTCATTATTGAAAACACTCTGTGTTATTAGAGCCTCTCACTTTTCTCATTCTGTCGACTTCATTTATGGACACTATTTCAGCCAACAAGTTGCACTAAAATAACTGTATGATGGACCTCCAACACTTTCTGGTGATGCGATAGCCCAGTTTTGCTCTGTACCCAAGAGCTCTTCTACTGGATTATCCGACGATCTTAAAGCAGCTGTAAAAAGACGAATTATTGGATAGTTGATTGCGTTAGCGATTTCTTGACTAGCATTAAATGGTCCGAGATCAACGACTACAGATTGCATATTCGATTGTTCAGAGCACATCCAGACATCGCCAAATAAAACGTCCTTTAACGTAATAGTGATTAGAGTTCCATTTGCTAATGGTTGTGATACATGGATGTCTTAACGGACCTCCTTCACTCGCGGTGTCCAATGTTACCGACCATATGCTTTCCCCAGTTGAATTAACTAGACTACTACCGCTCATTGTATGATACAAACGACCATTCATGTTTAATGTCGTAAATGCATTCAAATCACCATAGCCTCAGACAATGGCTTGTTGCGGAGCACATTGAAGCACCATATGATCTTGCATGTAATTACAAAAACGTACTCCATTACCTATAGACAATAGACATATGTATCAATAAGAAAAGAATATTGAAAAGGAAACATACTTCCTGCTATTAAAATACAGGACAAAACTATTTGTTGAACAATGTTAAACATAGGTCAGTTGGCTTCTGTTTGCAATCTTGTTTTTTTTGTTGTGACAAAAAATGTCTTTAAATATAAAAATTATTTGATATCTAACTTGTTATCTTGATAATAGGTTGCTATTCAAGAAAAGAACAAAAATTAATAAAGACATACGTCTATTAGTGACCAAGTATTTCAACCAACGAGAGATAGAATAGCATATCCCTAGTGAAACTTCTTGAACTTTTCAGTAAGATTTAGGTAAGAAAATATAAGAATTCAATAAGTTTCAAGAAGTCAAGATATTGAACATCTTATACTTTCTTGACTTCTTGTACCCCGATCTTGGAAATTCTTGAATCATCGTTTTGCTTTACACTCTTGTGGAAACAGAAGTGCGAATATTTTCACACTTAGAATAACTTAGAATTTTTTTCCTTCTTGACCACAGTTGTTTAAGGAAGATCTAAGACTGTATACAGTCGTATATCCAATGGCAACGACTGTCATAAATAAAAACAATATGTAAAGAAAATTTGTCATTCAAGTTCTTGCAACATCTTGAGCGGCTTCACTCAAGATCTTGGCCAAGATCCTAAGTGACAGATTCAAGAATCCAAGATTTTGAAATATTTATAATTGATGAATCAGACTTTAATGGCAAGTTGCTGTGTTTAAAACAAAGGTGATCACAAGGAGAGATAGAAAAGATGGAGAAAGTTTCTCCTTTGATATGATAGTAGTCATTCTAATGATTTTTGATTAATTTATTCTAGTAAATAGTAAATAATTTATTCGCTAAAGCTTCCATCAAAGCTTCGAAAAAAACTGGTATGTACCTGAATACACTTACGGTAATAGTAGTTAGTTTACTGATTATTTTTGTTTTAGAACGAGTTGAATGAGCAAAAAGAACTTTTTGACAAAGATGATGTCAAAAAATGTGTGGTTCATTTTGTAAACAATTGATCGGTCTATGAATTAAGTTTAAAAACTGTTCTACTATCATGGGGTTTGACTGTGCGGTAGCTAGTTTACTGGAAGAAACCAAGTATCTTAACCTAACAAATTTCAATACGTTGAGTTTTTTTACCATTAACTTATGACTTCTCCTTATGACTTCTCCTTATGAAAATCTCCTATTATTACATAGCTAGGGGTACTGTCAAAAAGTTAAGAAAAATTTTCAAAATTGTATAATTTTGCCATGGAGGTTTTTCTGCGTCACTTTGTTTGAAAATTTTTCTTAACTTTTTTGCGGTACCCCTCACTAAAAATAGGAGATTTTCCAGGTTATCAAGTGTGCTGAATATGAAAAAGCACTTTTCTTTAACTCTAAACAAACTTTAACTTTTTTTTATCGGTGATATGTTTCGATTATTTTTCGGGGCTTTTTGTATAAAATCGATAACTCACTCATTTTCAGGCTCTAAGGTTTAAAAACTTAAGTTCATGAGTAATTTTGAACGCTTTATCTAACGAGATTGCAAAAAATCGTTTTAATTTTTGGCCATGTTACGGGTACTTTGAGTGATGCTTGGTATAAGATATTTCCCCTAAGATAGCCCTAAAGAACAAAACGAGTAGTGTATGAAGAACACTGTTAGAAATGGATTGCTCAATATGTCAAATGCAGCTGTTTTCTAGCCTCCTGAATTTTTTTGAAAAGCCTAAAAAATTTTAGGCACCCACCTGAAAAACCTGGCAGGTACTTCGAAGTTTTTACTCTCACCCCTGTAAAAATATTAGACATGAGCGAAGAAGTAACCGTTTTGTAAATATTAGAAAAACGTTTCTTCCTTTAGTAGCACATGATGCTCATTCTTGGCAGAAATAAATCGTATTCGCTTTATTAATGCTAGCATTTTAGAATATAAACCAGCAAATAGATTGAAGATTGAAAAAGGAAGTTTCTCTAGTGTATAGAGTTATTCGTGCGAACAGTACGTGGGAGCGAGTTTGCTTATTCTTAACTTGCGGGGGCCCTCACACGTAAACAAGCCAGTGATATTTATATAGGTTAGTGGTATAAGGCTGAACGGAGAAATAAATACCGTTCAGTCACCAAAAAAAAAATGAGATTGCTGATCCTACAGATCATCCATATTGGTTAAAAATTGTTGTTGTTTTTTTCGAATCCCGCAACGATGATTTTAACATTATAATTATTCACCGCAACTTCATTGTTAGGCACGATTGTTGTTCATTGAGGATACATCGTGTATCAAGGCGCTCCGTCGTCGGTGCTATTTCCAGCCTCATCGTGGGAGAAAGCGATAATGGTCGGTAGTAGGTTATTACAGGTTTCCATACCTTTAACCATATGTAGCAGTTGCCACTTGCTCTACACCTAAGCAGTACTACGTCCAGTCGTCCCAGAGTTCAGCATCTGCCCATACAACCACAACAGCAGATACAAATGGCCGATCCAAAGAAAGCCATTGCCAATATACCAGACTTTAATGGGGAATCAATCGATAAAATTGAATCGTGGTGTCTTCGTATCGAATATGCATTTGCGTCACAAAACATCCAAGACCCTGCACGATTGTTAGTTATTCCAACAAAGTTAAACGGTCAAGCACTGATGTGGTACGATCGTATGCATAGAACAACACTATTTCAAACAAATATCTAGTCATATCCAATCTGTTTTCGTTATTCTTCTTTCCGAGTCATTTGAGATATGTTTCGCGTTCGTTAGAGCTCTGCTGCTATCACTCTCTGTCTACATTTATGTCGTTAAATTATATAGTTAATGCAACTATATGAAATGACCACATCCTTTTATGTTGTGACAATATTTCAACCTATTATGGTCATTATCAAGTCAATACAAACAACTGTACAATAAAATCAACATCTAAAAATTGAAATGGAGAAAAGAAAACACACTAGCATATTGCCTATATCACTATCTAGTAAAAATTGCGTAGACAGCCTTGATAACAGTACACATAACTCTTAATAACACTAATTCTGAAAATCTGAACTTAGATAGGTTTTAACAGAGGCACGGTAAACACGACGAAAGAGAAAAAACGTTGAAAAGATTTATAGAAATGTAGTAATGACTTAAACATTTGAAGGGCTACTATCATATGAAAAATTCAGGTGCGTAACACGTGTGACTTAGGGGAAAAACCTTGTTAGAGCTGCCACTTGTGGGGCTAAAATGGCGAAACTCCTTTACATTAGCCAAAAGGTGGTATTGGGAATAGTGTACCGTGGCATAGTGGAGTAACGAAAATTGCAGCTGTCTTTTAAGATGAATACACTACCCTTTCAAGAGGAATGCACCACTCTTTTAAGATGAATACCCCTCCTGAATGAGGTGATTACACCACCCTATTGGGAGGAATACATCGTCAGATTAAGATGAATACACCCAAAGAGGGGAGAATAGGTCAAAATGAAGGTATTCATCGTAACAGAGTGGTGCATTCCTCTTGAAAG